CCTGATGGCGTGGGTGGCTGTGAGGCATAGATGCCAAAAAATTCCCTGCTCTTTCTATTTATGAGACCCATCTGCTCCGAAAACATCTCTGGTGTTTCTTCCATAAACATGCTTGTACCCTTAAATACTCAAATGAAAAGTGAAATATTTTATTAGATAAAAAATTTAGAAGCAATTAGATTAAAAAAGTAAAATAAACAAAAAGAAATAAAAATAAATTATATACAATGGTGGTGGCAGGAGGAGTCGAAGGGACATTAGAGACTTGAAAACCTAGATTCAGATTTCGCCATTTATCCTGAACAGAAAATCAATTCGCTATAATTAAATAATCAAATACACTATAACTCAAATCTAAAGTTATAAATAAAATAAATACATTTCTTATAATTATATTACCTTGATATTCACGTTCGATCGTGAACTAAGAACATCAGAAAATTCAGGATCTTGAAGGATTTTTTTCCAAAATCCCTCACCATGTTTCATGACTCCAGCTATTAGGGCTTTTTCTTCCTCTTTTGTCCATTTATTCTTCGCTATCTTCTGCTTTGATGTGGCCATTACACTTACTATTATTATCTTTATTTGCAATAGTCTTCACAGAAGAAAAATTAAAGATAGAGAAAGAAACAAAATTTGTCTGAAACTTGACATAGGAAACTTATGGACATAATAAACCCTAAACAAAGGCTAGGAACAAAATTTGTGTGAAACTTGAAAAAAAGAAACATATCATGTGAGTATTAATTAGCCGTTAGATAATTAAATTAAATAATTAATCTATAAAATTGGTATTAGAGTACTGAATGAGTAATACTATAATATTTTTTTTAAATTGCAGGAAAAAAAAGAAAATTTTGTATGCTTAAAAAAAAAAGAAACACAATAGTGAACTAGATTTTACTATTTTTTGTTTCCATTTTTAAAGAAAATAAGTTTGAAAATATGTTTAATTTTAATTTTAGAAAATATTTTCTAAAAATATTTTTAAAAATAGGTGAATTTTAAAAATATAAAAACGTCATTTTTAATTGAAAATACGATAATATCACAATAATTATTTGATTCTGTCATTTATTTTCTTCTCAAATTGGTTCATAACCGTTTTTCAATTACTTTTTTTATAAAATTGAAACTATCTTTTTTATTTCTTTATTTTAATCATAACTTAACTAAACAGTTTCATCACTATATTCACAATTTTTTTTATTTTGCTAATAATTTAATTCATTAAATTTTTTGTTATTTCATATAGTTTTTCTTTAAAGAAAAAGTTTATAAGAATTTTTTTAATTTCTTATTTAATTTAATTTTTATTTATCATAACTATTTATAAATTAAATATTAATATTTTAAAATAATTTATTAATAAATAAAAATGATTTTTATTTCTTCACAAACCCGAGAGAAACTTGACAGAGTGAAAAAAACTTGTGTGAAAACTTATGTGAAAACTAGAAACTATTTTTGCCAGACAAGTAGATCTCGTGTTTTCCTGTAATAAAGAAAATGGCAACCACCAATTATTAAAAACTTTTTCTAACAATTGGATTAACCCAGTGACAGAATTATATGAATTCAACATACAGAAACTTGTTTTTTAAATTATTTTCAACTTGCTTTCACCTTAATATTCAGGGACGTTTGAGGGTAGTAGGGGTATCCATATTTTTTTAATAAAAAAATAATATATTTTAAAAAATAAATTATATTATAACAAAATAAATAGTAATATATTAAAAATTTTAATTTTTGATAAAATAAATTTTACAACATGTATATTTATCTTTTGTATTTTCTAATTATTGTATATTTTAATTAAAAAATTAAAATAGTAAAGATTGTAAGATTGTATACATTGATTAAAAAAAATCAAAATAAGAAAATTCGAAAGATTTATGTTCTATTTAGAATTTTTATTATAAAATATGTTTTAAAATGAATTGTTATCTAAAAATTTATATTAGATATATAAAACATGTCGATATCATAAATAAATTAAACTTAATTTTTATACAATTTAACATATTTTCTTTTATATATTTTTATTAGTGTTAAATTATTATAAAGTAAGTTTTTAGGATTATAATTTTAATCAATCATTTAAAAAAATTTATAATAGATAAATAAGTCATATTTAGGACATATATTTTTAAAGAAAGTTATATTTAAACCTACTAACTTATAATATAATTTACGCTAATTTAATTTATTTTCATTTTCAATCGTAATCGTAAATATAAAAGCTTGTAAAAAATAATTATAATATATATGCTTTTAAAAATTATATGTAAAATTTTTAATATTTTAAATATATAAATAAATATTATTCCAGTAAAATTTTTGGATTGTTAAATTTGTGTATTATTTTCAACTTGCTTTCATTGTTAATGCTGTTGTAATCCGGCAAGTGTCAGACTTCAACACTTGAAAATAGTCTATGAATCATTAACTAGTATAAAGGCACTAAAATCTGTGATATTTACGACCCCGACATTAAAAATATAAAATGTTTTAAATATCATTAATATATTTTAATAGTATAAATTTTAAAGTATAATATATTTTAATAATAATAATATTATTATTATTATTGTTTTGTTGTTGTTGAAATAGATATATTTTGTATCTCTATTTATTTTTTATAAAAAACAATAATTTTTAAAATAAATTGTATAATATATAGTTATATAATAGAAGTTTTTATTTGAAGGAGAAATAATTCTATTAAAATGACACCAAAAGTAATTGAAGGAAAAGATATTCCTTTTATCTACTGTCGTAGATTATTTATATTATTTTGACTAGTTTTTTTAATCTTTTATGAAAATTATATATTTAATTAAGTTATTTAATAAATACTTATATATTAAATATGAACATCTATTTTACACAAAAGTATTTTTTATAATTGTTTTTCAATGAGAGTATGCATGATTTTTTTAATTTCTTTTTTAATTTGAT